GAGGAAAGAGGGGGGGGTGAGGGGGGAGGGGGGGCGGTTTATTTATTTCTGAAGCTCTGAGCGCGCCGGGAACGCTTCTTTCCGCAGATATTATATATTTGGTTAAGGGGGTGCATTTCTGCTGTTTAAAAGGGAGGGAAAAGGGGGTGGATGGTTTGTTCTTGGGGTCCCTGGTGCAATCTCAGCTCCTCATGGGTGCTATTTTGCAACCTCAGGCGCCTGCTATTGGTCAGCCCATGATCAGATGGTTGTATTTCCTTGTGTCCCTCGCTGGCACCACGCCATCTCCCTTCAGCTAAAACCCAATCTCCGATATACTACTAATAGCTAAACCACTTGGACTATAAAACACAACAAATCATAAAGCCGGGAAAGGACGGCAGGCTCCTTCCAATGAGTTCTTATTTTGTCAACTCGACCTTCCCGGTGAGTCTGGCGGCGGGGCAGGAGCCCTTCCTGGGACAGATCCCGTTATATCCCTCGGGCTATGCGGATCCTTTGAGGCACTATCCAAGCACCTATGGAGCCACGGGAGTCCAGGAGAAGGGCTATGCCTCATCTCCCTACTACCAGCAAAGCAACGGAGCCTACAGCCGCAGCTCCGCCTGTGATTATGGGGCCGGAGGGTTTTTCAGGGAGAAGGACCCTGCGTGCCCCCCCCCCAACCTGGACGAGGTCCCCTTCGCCCCCGAGCCGCGCAAGTCGGACTGCGCTCAGAGCAAAACTGTATTCGGAGAGAGCGAGGAGCAAAAGTGTTCCGCCCCGGTTTACCCCTGGATGCAGCGGATGAACTCTTGCAATAGTGAGTTTACTCTTTTACAGAAATAAATACATCAATCTCCTCCCCCCCTTTCTTATTTGTTACCGCCAGAGTGAGAGAGCGAGAGAGAGAGCGAGGGAAGTAGGAATAAGGTTCACTTTAGAGCCCAAACTTCCAGCGGGGAACTTAGGCAACGTGAGAGGCTCCAAGTTCTCCTGACACGCACCAAAACTTCACGCCGTGAGGCTCTGCTCCTCTCGCCCCCAATAGAACAGCAGCAAACAACTTCGCTCCGTATTTAATCTCCACTTACAGCATTTCTGTGTGTCCCCCCCCCCTTCCCTTTCTCCCCCCCTATTTTTTTTTTTTTTTAAATTTCACATTCCTATTTGCTTGTCACGCATTTCCAGCGATTTATCTCTGTCTTTCCCCGGACGGACGGACAGATTTCCCCCAGTTCAGAGCTGGAGGACTCTGCACCCGCACGGACCCGCACCCTCACGCACCCCCCTGTAGCCGAGTGGTAGTTAAATAATATAGAAGTGTTTAAATATTTGAAAGGAGGGAGAGCTTACATTTTTAATGAAACTTACACATAATGAAAAGTCCGCCCGGGGAGAATTTTTTTTTTTTTTTCCCCTTGGTGATATATGACTTCTTTAAGTGCTGTTTCCTCAATCAGGAGAAGGGAAAGAAAAAAAAAAGAAAAGGGGGGGTGGGCTTGGGGGAGGGGGCTTGGGGGAGGGGGGGGGAAGAAAAATAATAGAGGCTCACCACCCTCATCCCCGTGTTTAGACGCATTTGTTGCCTTTTAAAGTTCCGAATTGATGTCCATTAGCGCAGGGACATAAAGTGTTGTGTCCTCTTTAATGCAGAGTTTGGGCAGATCGATTCACTTCATTATTGCTTAAATGCTCAGCTCCATTACAGCTGCCGGTAGGGTGGAAAACAGCGGCGGGGGGCGCGGGGGGGGGGGGGGGCGGGGGGGGGGGGGGGGGGGGGGGGGGGGGGGGGGGGGGGGGGGGGGGTGAAAAGAGAGAGGGAGAGAGAGAGAAAACACCTTGCGATTTTTCATCGCGGACTGAGATAGATTTCTCCCCTCCACTCAGCTCAGCTCTGACCCCGATCCCGTCGCAGCCCCGCGCGGAATATCCGCGTTCGGGAGCTCCGCGTAACTCCGCGCAGCTCCGCGCAGCGCTGCGGAGGCCGTGCTGAACCCAGCGGAGCATCGAACAGGCGCCCAGTTCTGCGCACACAAACGCGGGGAGCGGAGGAGGAGGAGGGGGGAAGCGGGGGGGGGGGGGGGGGGGGGGGGGGGGGATGGTCGAGGTGTTCGAAACCTTCACCTCACATCGGTTTTATTTTTTTTTTCCCTTTGCTCCCCCCGCTTTTTTTTTTTTTTTTTCTATTTTTTTTTCATTCTATTATTTTCTTATTTATCGTTATTATTTATTATTATTTTGCGGCTGTCACAGGTTCTTCCTTCGGGCCCAGCGGCCGCAGAGGCCGTCAAACGTACACCCGTTACCAAACCTTAGAGCTGGAAAAGGAATTTCACTTCAATCGCTACCTGACCCGGCGCCGACGGATCGAGATCGCCCATTCGCTTTGTCTGACGGAAAGGCAGATTAAAATCTGGTTCCAGAACCGTCGGATGAAGTGGAAAAAAGAGAACAAACTGCTCAGCTCCTCGCAGCTGAGCGCGGAGGAAGAGGAGGAGAAAACGGCGGAGTGAATGGGAGAGTTGGAAAAAAAAAAAAAAAGAAAAAAAAGAAAAAAGAAAGAAAGGAGAGAAGGGAGTGAGTGTGAGAAGCCAGGAGGATGAGGGTGGTGTGGGCTGGCTGCGAGGAAGGGAAAACGCGCACATTGGTGGGACAAGAGCTCTGCGGAGACGGCGACAGCAACAACAACAAAAAGTTTGGGCTACCAACGCTATGGACTCGTGTTCCCAATATCTGTCGTGTCCACAACAACAACAAAAATCAGGCTTCTAGTTGCGTTTTTTTTTCTTCCTAGACTTCCCTCCC